ATATAATTTCAGGTTTTTGAGGCTATGCACTCCCAATGTAATTGTGGTCACTGTGACCTAAAAGATCTATTTGGAAAACGTGGTGTCTTTCTAGAATGGTGTGTGTGTCTTTTGAATATTTCAGTATATTTCCAAAAGTAGACTAAAATACACATGGTATCTTTAGTAGTTCTCTTAAAAATATTTTATTTGTGTTTTTAATTTGAGAAAAGTGAAAATGTAACTATTAAAAAATATTCTAATTAATTAAAACTGATAAAAAAAATATATTACTTAGGACAAGGGGTAGTTTTTAAGGGTGATTTGTGCAATAAATAAATAAATATTTTAATACTCAGTAAATAAGATTTCAATTCAGTAATGTACTATTTAATAGGTTAAAGTTTTAAACCCAATTTTTACAGTGATTCTGAAATAGGGGGGTAGTTATTAAGGATTGAAACACTTGCTTTCAATTGCTCTTGACCTTGATCTCTGACAAGAAGGAAAAATCGTTGATGCACCGGACTGGCAAAAATTGTAAGCCTCCATAAAACTTCCTCCCATAGAATGGACCACAATGTTTTGTTATAACAAAAAAAAGGATATAGGTATCACCATTATGCCACTTACCAGTGCTGCCTTCATTGTTGTAACGAAACTGTTACAAATTCAGTCGGATACTAGCCGAAATACTGACGGGAACCTTTATATATGTTGAACTATTTTGATAACGCTTGGTTCACACGTAAACTGCTGATTTTTCGGCTACTCGCTTCTTTTGTTTCTCGAAAAATTATGTCTCAAAGTTTAATACAGCTAGTTTTCCTTAACTAATTCCGCAAAATCTTCTATTTACAAATACAATAGATCATTTCAATAACAACGGGCTCAAAAATAATTCTTTAGTTTTCGAAATGTGGTATATGAATTATGGTAAGCTGACGTAATTGGGTTTTTATGCCAAAGAAATATGTAAGCTTATTTTTCAAGTATAACTCCACCGCAGTGAAATAAAAATACCTTTACGGTGCGGTGTTGTGTTTTATGTGATGGGCATAGTGTTCGGGTAGGTAACGCACGAGTAATAGATAATGTAGCTACAGTATCGCAAGAGTCTTTATGCAACCATTTACCACCAGGAAACCCCCAAGAGGCAATCACCATTATGAAAGCTCTGGGTACGGAACTGGGATAGCTGGAGTGACTCCAGCAACACACCCTCCTAATGAAAAACCGGTGCCATATAAACGCCGCAACTCGGGGCGGGCCATAGGTTAGCTTTTGGCGTCTTTTACATAAAAATGGCGATGGAATATAATAATAAAATCTGACGAAAGAGCCGGGAGGTGAGAATAGGACACTTCGTAGAAAAACGACTCAATTTCATCGAGTTTGTTGTTTGAATATTCTTGATAAATATACTACGATCCTACATTATATCCAAAGTCGGATGATGAAGTTTGGGCCCTCTGGGCCCTTGCAGTAGCTGCTATTTAAAAGACTATTTGGATGCGACTAAAAGTTGTGGCCGTTTTTAGAGAAAATTTTTGCTACCCTGCACGTTCTACCTTATATAAAGGTCTCAGGTATGATGGGAGTACTTCACAAGGCGCAAGGTTGCCGCCCTTATGTTATTCTGTTGCGCTCGAGTAAATCCCAAAATCCCTGCTTGGGTTCTCTACATACATTACCATATTTTTTTTTATCATTTTTTTTTTCATCTCTCGAAAAATGAAGTTTTGTTACTAAGCTAGAATTCAATCCTCTAGATTGAATTATGGCTTGGAAACGAGACTTTATTTTTCTGTCTGTAATCAAGTTAGCACAGCTGGTGCACTCTGTGTTACGTTTTCACTCCCAGCTGTTTAAAAAAATAATTCCGGGTACATTTTTCTTAATAATAAATTTAAATTTAAAATATTCGCATGTCTTGTCGGGTACATCATAGTGTTACTATCACACATTATTGCCGTCCATCATTGCATGTGATGACGAATAAAAACATTCATAAATAAAAGAACCTGATATCATTATACTTATAGACTATATTATAATGATTAGCCCTTTAAGCGGAACTCTTCATTTGTTTGTCTGTAGCTAACAATACTATTAAATAGGAATTAATTAAGTGTCAAAATAAAACGACATTAAAATGCCCAATTATATTATTTATTAAAATATTTCAAAATCAATAGAAAAAGTTTCAAATGTATAGTCATTGGCGCTATAAGAGGAATAGAATGATTAGCGCGCATGATATCAGTTATTGGCAGTCTTGTTATTTATTCTTTTTTTTTTACCTTAATATAAGATACCTACCAAGTAATCCAGTCATGCACGGAGAAAACGGGAAAACTTGGACATTCTGCAAAACAGCACCAATTTACACCAACATTTGGATTTGGGTTCTACTTACCCCTTACTTCTTTGTTTATGTGCCAAGGGATGCTAATTGGGGTGGTATCCACACCTTCTTGTGGATGTTTTTATTTATAAAAAATAAGAGGGAATGGACAGTCACTAAATCTAAGCACTTTCGTTTTTTTTTAAGTTTTCACTAAAAGTAAAATTTTCGACTTATCCAGAGTGTCTTTCGAGAGTGGAAAATAATAAAAATCTTTATAATTTCTTTCCACGTATACTTCACATTAGGGATGGATATAAATATTGGACGATTAAAAAAAGAGCTTTTAATAAGTCAATTTGAATGAAGTTTAATTACATTTCAATAATTAAAAAAAAATTAACAAAAGCAATTTTTTTTCTTTTTAATACTACATAACTAGATTTTATATTGAAAGTGAGATTAAAACAATAAATTTAATACATTTGCCAATTTCCTTTATTTTTACACACTTATGTACTAGGTATGTATGTAGGAGTTCTTTTGACGCCGTCTTTGTTTACTTGCCACCGCGAGCGAGGGGGTTGGAAACTGAAAAAAATTAAGAAATAACATTTTTAATTGTCTATAGAGTTTTCGAATCATATTTTTATCGAATAATAGCAATTGCCGACAAATGCATCCGGAATAGTATTTCGATGTAATATACTAAGTATGATTTAAAACCAATTACCACGTGCAGTAATGAAGATCATGATTAATTATATAATATCTAATAATAATATAAATAATATATTATGGTATGCTTGAAATAGGTTTTCTAGCGCTGCTTATTTAATTTTAAACTGCCTTCAAAAAGGAGGAGTTTCTCAATTTGGTAGTTTTTTTTATGTACTACCGAGCTTTCTGAACCGAGTTATGTGATTATATTCTTGTTCGATGCAAAATAGTTGCCATGTGGTCCCGTAAAAATTTAATTCAGTTTGGCGTAGTAGTTTTAATTGTATAAGCATTTTTGTTAGCTTGAACGATGTAATTTTCACAACACTTTGTTTATATTATGTACACGGACTACTTAAAGATTTATGATTCGAAAGGATTTTTGTTCGATTGAAGAGTACTTGCCGTTTGGTCAAATAAAAATCATTTTGTTTGAACCAATGTTTTCATTTTATGAGCATTTTTGTTTATTTTTTACTTGGACAATGTAACAATCTTCACTGAAAGGGATAAAACGAAAAATATTTTTAAACAAAAAATGAAAACCAACATCGAAATCGAAATGATACTAAAAATTAAAATAAATCCTGTTCATGATTTGGAAGTTGGGTGGTGCCAATAATGACATTTTGAGGTCTGTACCCCTAGCACGAACCATTATCGAATTCGAAAAGTTTGCGAGTGCGAAATCTATGCACAAATGCATTAAAAATATTAGGCTTTGTGTATCGCCAGCCGGTCCGTCGGAAGGCCTTCTACAAAAATTAAAAAGAATCGGACAAAAACTCATTTTCATATTAACATTGACTTTTATGTTTAAAAACGGTCGAAAATTCGATCATTCCAATACGAACTTCGGCTGAATGTTTGGTGATATCTCTGTACCTGTGACTGAGATGACTGAAGAAGTGCTTACTCAGGTATAACATAAAAAAAGCAATCAGTAGGAACCAATGTAATGTCTCGACTAAACTTCGGGGCTTTAAACGCAAGAAATATCAACATTCCCTGCAAATGTAATTGATCCGTGTAAAATCTTTATATATATAATTCTTCTGTGAGTGTGTATGTCACTGAACTTCTCTTAAATGACTGGACCGATTTTGATGAAATTTTTTGTGTGTGTTCAAGGGGATCTGAGAATGGTTTAGATTCACAATTTTGTCCGCTGGACAACCCCTATTTTTTTAGGGCGGTACGAAGTTCGCTGGGTCAGCTAGTATTATTATATATCGGAAAGGCGAACGCCTAAATTCTACAGACAACAGTACAAAAATTTCGTATGATAGTTGACTTATTCAGAGGCTAGCAAGCTAGCCTGCGGTTTCCCCTATACATTGATATATGTATTGATATAGGGATAGCAACACGCATTTAAGTAATGAGTAGTCGCGACACGGCACGACATCGCAACGTCGTGCGACACGGCGCGACACCGACTGTAGGACGATTGCCGCTTTCGAAGCTATAGACAGGAACCGACCGTCAGACGCGCGCCTTTTTAAAGGAAATAAAAAATACTTTGATACCATCTTAACTTACATTGCTTGGGTCTGTTATTGTCAACATATGCTGGGCCTATGCCTGAAATAAAAAAAAATGTTTTATAACCACATTATAAGAGATAGACAGGTAGGTACTTCGCAAAGTGCTAAAATTGTAAATAAGGCCCACTTTAAATTACAACTTATCACTTGCAGTAAATTAGCTAAATCTCGATTCAACTAAAATTAGCTTAAACCCATAGACAAATGAAAAAACTAAGATGTAAATTGTACATTATTGTATGGCCTAAATCTAGTTGTAATGTCATTCAGATTTAGCAAACTTGCTTTATAACTTTATAATTCTATACTTAGGTCTAGTTGCAGTATATAACTATAAAGTTGTAGGTTTTTTTTTTCTATTTTGCATAATCAAAAAAAAAAATATCTGAATATTTATAAATACTTACTAATCGGTTCATATCCCCCGTTAGGACCTGTGGATACAAAAAAATATATTATATCAATAGGTGTATACCTAGAGAGAATTTCTCCATTCATTTTTAGCGTACATAACTTATTCGTAAAATTTGTCAGTATTAGTTAATCAATAGCTCGGTCATTTGTATTGCTTGGTAAGCATTGAGTTTAAACAAATTTGCAACAACGTGTTAATAATAAATTTTAAAGTATATTTTCTCCGTTAAACAAACTACAATATTCTACCCTACCAAATCTGATGTCAAACCAGCCTGAATATCAGAACCGTGGAACCTTACATATCAACAGAAACACAACACCACCAAACGGTAGTATTATTTTACTGTGGTATTCTGCAGGGGAGGAGCTCGATGGCGCGGCTGGTTAACGCTTTCGGCTGGGATCGTTGAAGTTAAGCAACTTTCGCATTGGTCTGTCAGTGGATGGGTGACCAAATATCTTCTATCTTGAGTTCCTCCGTGCTTCGGAAGGCACGTTATTCCGTTGGTCCCGGCTGCATCTCCAGTCGTTAGTACCCGCCAATCCGCATTGGGCCCGCGTGGTGGGTCAGGGCCCAATCTCCCTATTCCTGTGCTCTAGCAGTGAGGACAGTAATAGGCTGATGATGATTCTGCAGGGTTCTGATTGTTTTTACGGACGGATGCACTGTATCAAATAAGAAATCCACTTAAATACATTTCTTTACTTGCTGATAACACCGTGTTATAAAGGCAGCGTTCATTTCAGTTGCATTGTAGCTTTTCATTGCCAATGTTTGCAACTATTGTTCAACAATGTACCTATACTAATAAAATACTAGGGTTATAAACATCAATGACTACGAGTCAAGCCCAGGTGCTCCGGCACACATGTAGCTACCGCACCATAACTTACTAATCTACTACCTATAGAAGGTTACTTACGGTAGAAGCAGAAGAGAAAATAAATCAGCTGATTATAATATAATGTACATATGAAAAATTACTTACGTCCACCGCCGCCACCAATAGGTCTGCCACCGCCGCCAGGTCGGTTGTTTACGAAATTAACTGGAAAATGCATAAAAAGAGGTAGTTAAAATAAGCTTAAAATCTAAAATAGTGAAAAACATGTGCTTCTTTTTTTGATAATCCCACAGTAACCTGGGGATTTTCGTTGTTTCGGCCAGAAACAACGAACTACTTAAAACAATAATTTTTTCTTCGTCAATTTGTCCTTCACGTATTCCTCTGGGTTTTCAGGGAGGTGGTGCTCTGCAGCACCATTGCGAGGGGGTAGGAAACCAGGCGTAACAAGTGGCGAATCACAAATGGATCCCGCAGTTATGCCGGTGGGTGCGGGGTATATCGGGAAGTTGGTTTACCTGGTAGCTACGGGAGCTGGTCAGCTGGCCATCAAGGTCCGAGGGACTAGTCAGGTGACGTTGTAAACGGACAAGCCCAGGATCGGTTAAGCGGGGGTCGGATGTGGGGTAGTTTGACGCCTGCCACGCTTGCGTGAGCATGCATCAAATTATACCTGCACGGACGAGTAACCCACAAACGGTACTCGCTTACCGAATGCGCCACGCAATTACCTGGCCCGCGGTGGTTTGTTAACAGCAAACTTCCTGCGGTGTGGCATTGTACGAGGATATGACAGGACATTCTTTTCTCCCCGTTATCGGAAAATGGTATTCCTCTCTATGGAAAACAGTCTCTTATGACGGCAACTTTTTTTTTATTGTACAATGACGAACTCTGTGACTCGAGTTGTATGTATGCCAGTTTGGCAGCCAACTGGCATACATACAACTCGAGCCATGGAGTTCATCATTGTCCAATAAAAAAAAGTTGCCGTCTTAAGAGACTGTTTTCCATAGAGACACCTAGGGGCACCTACCTTACAAACTGACATACATACAACTCGAGCCACGGAGTTCATCATTGTCCAATAAAAAAAAAGTTGCTTAATTTCCATTGAAACTTTGACATGTCTTTACGAATACGGTACCACTAGCACGTACCATTATCGAATTCGAATAGTTAGCGAATGCGAAATGCCACAAAATACGTAACGAGAACTAAAAATCAGTACACATTTTACAATGATATTTCGGACTCGCAAACATTACGATTTCGATATTGGTTCGTGCTTAGGGTACAGATATGTCAAAGTTCGAGTACAGGTCGATAAAATTTTTGATATATAAATAACTCTATGTTTTTCAAAGGCCTGTGTGTCTCTGACTAAAAAAATAATAGGAGATACAGTTGCAGCTTAATTATAAATCTTTGAAAACTTATATCATAATTAAATTAAATACATTGAGTGTTAACTCGTGCGTGGTTAACTCAATGCAATTAAATTCATACTTTGAAGAGATAATGACAGTATTTTACGCCTGAATGTTCTTTATTAGAAACCACCACGTTGTTCTTAATGTTTCTTTGTTGTTTTTAATTGTTGGGGGAATCGATGAATGAAAACAATTATTTTAAAAAGTTCATGGTTTCGGTTGTGGGTCAATACAGTACCGGGTTTCAAACGACGAAAGAAAGACTCATATTTTGTAGGGGTAAAGAGTATCCACAGAGTAGTTTTTTTTAACAATTGCCAAAAAAAAAAGTATACTTATAATTAGTAGCCCTAAAATTCATAGAATAAGCTGCAGCCTATTATAAATGCTCTACAGATAGTCATTCTATTTAAACAATTCTAGACAGCAGAAGCTAACAAAATGGTTTTTTGATAGAGTTTTTGTAACAGGCTACAAATGCATTTATTCATTGGAAGAATAACAGACAAATATCAACTATAACTATTAAAATTCAATAAAAAAATGTTTTTTTTTATAAATCTCCACAAATAGGAATGTAGATAACAATAACGAAAGAGTAGATAACAACATTCATAGTAACAATTACTGGGTAAAATATCTAAGCTTGTCAGAATGATCAACTTCCACCAACCACCCTAAGCACATCCGTACAAACAGCTAGAATCCACCAGGAGCTATACCCGCGACTCTAATATCCGCCGGAAATGGCGCGCCAGATTAACGGGATGGACTGGTGAATCGGGGGCGTATTTAGACTTTTTATTGTGTCTGGGAAATGTCTTACGCTTCCTTCAACCACTGGGGGAGCGAGAAGTAGGTATGTAGGACTCCTCCCTGTCCCCTTCAGCCAGTCTTGGAGCTCGCTGAAGTGAACAGGGCCCTACCTACGCCTTGAACAGGGCCACTAAAAACCAGACAATACTCCTGCACCGTCACCCGACACGCACTATGAGGACCGGGGTCCCCCTAGTGCGTGCCGAGAGGGCGGGTGTGGTCGCGGCATCCGTCTCTGAATGGCAGCGCACGGGGTGTATTTAGGCTGGGGCCAAGAAGACCATGGCCAGGCTGAGTGGGGCGGCTGCAACAGTGGCAAAGACCACATAAAGACATTCGTTGGTGAGTTTGGTGGTGTTTCTCGAGTAGGTAGATTCACCGAAGAAAATTCGAAACGAAGTAGAACTATAGGCTATGGAGTTACTACGGGGTAAAATACATGTTTTTTATTTATTTTCATACCTTGAGCAAATGCAATGGCCAGTAGAGCAAAGAAAAAAGCCTGAAACGAAAAGAAATATTAAATTATGTCGCATTCTTAAATTAGTATAACTTTCTTTCACAGATTCTTGAGATTTTGCTAACGACACTTTTTTATAATCGTCCGTAAGATAAATTTGCTCTAATCTTATTGATTATTATTATTTTTAAATCTAACTGTCAAATTTAAGTGCCAAACAAGAGTGAGAGCTTTTTAGAACACTACACATTTTGATTTAAACTTTAGATCAATTATAATATGTGTAAGTGTGTAAAAAATCCTTAGAGCGTGGTATATGTTCAAAGAAAAAATCAGGTAAATAAAAAATGCTTCATTTTCTTTTCATGCCCCAATTTAGATATTTTATGCTTAAAAATATTGTAGAGTCGTAGATATAATAATAGCACCATTTTAATATAATTTTAAATGCAGTGTGGTATGAAATAATATTTGCTATCTATTGACAACAACAAATTACGTATTAAACTTATAAATATTAATCAATTAAGTTTAAACACACAATTTTTTGGTTTTAATCAAGCGAGTTCTGTATTTTTTTTCCTATAATAAAAAATCATAAAGTTTTTTAAAAAATCATATACTTTAAAAATCGTACTTACCAAAATAAACTTCATGTTGAATGTTTTTAAACGAAGCTTATAATTAATAATGATTATGGATGCTATCAAAGTATAATGATAACTAAACAGTATTTTGGCAGAACTTGTTTATATATACGATAGGTCGTGCCGTCTCTACCGGCCAGTAAATAAAGTGCAACTTTTTCACACCTGAGCGACGATTCGCAAATATATAATTTTTTCCCTAACCGGTTTCTCAGTATTTTCAAGTATTGTTTAAGTGCAAACGAATTTAATGTTTGTCTTAAGCAAGTTTTTCATAATTTTATAAGTACTTACTAGAAATACATATTACTTAATATAAATTCATATGACGGAGATTATATTGTAGACAGTTTTAATAACAAAAATAAAAATATTTTCGATTGACTCTGATTTCTTTGCAAGTGCTGCCACCTACTACTTAATATCCATTATGATTGCAACTATGCAACATATTATTAAGGTAAACAAGGGAAAGGTTTGATAAACAAAGGAAATGGTTCAAAAGTGGTATAGTCGATTTCCGGCAGTGACGAAACATTTAACATTTGAAAGCTTGTTTTGTATTAACATGAACGAATGCTTTTATTTTTTTAATAATCTCCGATTAATTTTTACTAGTGTGTAAAAATTTAGCAATTTTGTAAGGATTCTGGCTACCCTGTCCATTTTTTTTTTTGATACGCTGGGGAAATGCATTAAATTGCATACCACATGGTGGTTATGTGGGGCTCTCCTCCCCAGAAGGGGGAGGCCTACCCACTAAAACCCCAGCGACCAACCCTGTCCTAAGTAACACCATATTTTTAGTGTGTGACAGCTTGTAATGACAACTCAATCACTATGGCAAATTCCAATCCGCAGTGCTATTCTGTAAAATTTTCACGCGCGGATCTGATGTGGATCAGCCCGAATCTGTATGGGAAACTTAGATTAAAACAAAAAGGGTAGATACGGTACGCTCATACTTGCATCAAACAAAAACTGATCCCATGGCAGCGCGAACGGGATGGCGAGATCCGCGTCACTGCATTACCGACCCGAACGAAACAGCACGTTAAGTTTCAACGGCAACGCGAACGACGTCTGTTAAGCTAGCATGGCAAAGTGAGCAGAATCGTTTCAAATAAAGTGCATCAATTAGTGCTTATTTAGTGCTAATTTAGTGCCAAAACCGGAAATTTAATGCTCTCATAGTTTAGCGAAAAATTAGAACACTGCCAGCTTTTAATTAAGTTAGCAGTGTATTCCCTGAAACGCCTATATTAACGCGATATAGAACTTAAGCAATGCATAGGCAATTTAGTGCTAAATGAGTGCTGGCAGTATCTGATGACAATTTTTGAAAATAAAAAATATTTTATTTTTTATCAATAAAAACTGCTAGTATGACAGTCTGAGCAAGTGACTGGGTTGAATACATCACTCTGGATCGAAGATCTATGATAATCAACGGTTAATAATTTAGTGCTCAATGAGTGCTGCCAGTATGTGATAAAAAATTAGGTTTTTTTTTTTATTTTTTTTTAAAATATAAACTGCTAGTATGACAGTCTGAGCAAGTGACTGGGATGAATACATCACTCTGGATCGAAGATCTATGATAATCAACGGTTAATAATTTAGTGCTCAATGAGTGCTGCCAGTATGAGATAAAAAATTAGGTTTTTTTTATTTTTTATTAATAAAAACTGCTAGTTTGACAGTCTGAGCAAGTGACAGGGTTGAATACATCACTCTGGATCGAAGATCTATGATAATCAACGGTTAATAATTTAGTGCTCAATGAGTGCTGCCAGTATGTGATAAAAAATTAGGATTTGTTTTTAAATTTTTTATCAATATAAACTG